TGATGCACATGAAACAGTGAAGCACAGTTGTTGGGCAGCACAAAAGCGCAGCCTGATATTCCTGTGAGGGCTACTGATATGACCTCTGACCTTAAATTTGACAGAGTCCCGTCAGTAGACCCTTGGACGATGTCAACGTTGCGGTACGGAGAGAACTTGCCCCTGCACTTCGAAATCTCTTTGAACACGGGATGTTTAAAGTAAGTCATTGAATTCTTGGTTCACCCCATGGTAGCACCACGTACAGGTGCATTTTACTTACCCATGTTGGACACATTGGTGTATTTCTGTTTGTTTTGGTTTCTTGGGTGTAAGTTTAAAATCTACCAACAGTCATTTATCTTGCTACTTGGGTAGACTTCTGAGACTATTTACATCTTATGTGTTCTTGAATGAAATCACAGTTAAAACTAATGAAAAATGCTAAAACTGAAATGGAATCAAGACAAATGAATTTTTTAAAAAGAAGGGATTTTGTAATTATGCATTAAGCTGAGGTTTAGATTGCTGCTGTGAACAATGCAGAGTTTACAACAATGCTATCAACATCTAACTTTTGTTGGATCGTAAGTTTTAAAGTCCTTGAAATAAACTCTGTTGTCAATTTAGATTTATCACCCTCCCCATTTCAAATCGGATCTTTTCTCTCGCTGTAGCATTCAAGTTCCAGCGATGCATTGATGACTCCAATCACAGCCTGCCTTGCCACCCACCGAAACACTTCCAGCCAGAAAGGCCATGCCTGGGACCTTTTCACCAAGTACTATGATATCAAGGTGAGATGGACCACCATTTTTAAAAGAGTGTACAGATTAATCTAAAGAGATGCCACGGCACAGCTTTAACAGGTCCGCTCTTAAGATTCACACACACCTGTAGTCGGCAATTCACAGCATCGTATTGGTCGAAGAGGCATTTAAGGCAGGTGTACCACCTGTCCACAAGTTATGCGCCACCGCGGTAATGGCTTCTAGTATTGAATACCAAATTCTGCGATATCTTTAACTTCCATGAACGGAGTTTTGTCCCTGACTGACTTCTCTGGTGCTTCTTAAAGCTTATGGGAAAAATGTACTAGCTTGCTCGGGTGGAACTTGAACCAGTGACCTCCAGCTTACTAGTGCAGACAACCTTAACATTCCAACCACTATTTGATGTAAGAAGGTTATCACAATACGGATACATATATTCACGCATATTCTCATCAGAGAAAAGCTAGACTGGAATTAAAATCACACCACCATTAGAAACCCAATGAAAGAACACGGACTAAGACAGTTTGATTTATGGTATTGTGACTAAAATCTTCTCCTCTTGCCTTCTTACACATGCAGGTTCCCGAAAGACTTCAGTGCCTGTTTTAGATTTTTTTTCTTTTACACCCAAATGCATTTTGCTTGTCTTTGGTTTTCAGAAGGGGAAAGCCTTTGCAATGTCCCCAGCCAGGAAGCTCTCGCAAGCTTTTGATATTGACATCGTTGGAGGTACAGCCATCACAGCCAAGCAGACACTCCTAGCAGCCGTAGACTATGTCAGTGGGTCTCACGAACCACTCAAGAGAAGCAAGGAAGCGCAGTTCAAGGCATTTGTCTCTGAAGCACTCAAGTACGTTAATATCTCTGTATGCACTACCCATTCACAGAAGGTTGGGCAGTAGTCAAGTCCATCACTAGTCCTCACATGTCTATCACAAGTCCTCACATGCCCATCATAAGTCCTCACATGTCCACCACAAGTCCTCACATGTCCATCATAAGTCCTCACATGTCCGTCGCAAGTCCTCACATGCAAGTCTTCTCAATTCCACCACAAGCCCTCATATGCTTCTGGTCTTCAGCCAAGTCCTCAGCTGTGCAAATTGACTGCGACGAGCATTTTGTCTTCAAGGACTGTTCCTGAATTTAAAGCATAACAAGAGTCATATAATGACGATTGCTAATGCACACTGTACGTATGCATGCTGTTACTTGGGTTGTGATCAGTAGCATTGATTCACCTGTTGTTTACTTATTAACCTTGATTAACTTTGATTAACCCCTTCACGGCGGGATTATTTTGACCATGACTGCTGGGCTGTGGTATGCCCTGAATGGAGGGCTTTGTCCATCAGCAGGCCCCATTGAACCAGCAACTGCATGGTGAATAGACTGTATGTGTGGTATGCACTAATCCTCACACAAAGGTGCTGAAGTAGCAGTCCTCTGTGGCGAAGGGGTTAAACTGGATTATCGTTTGGGGCTGTGTGCCTGTTGGCAATAGTGATTAGGTTCTTTTTCTCAGCTCCTGCCTTCTTGTTCTCTTTGTGTATTTTTGTGTTGTGATGAGAACAAATGAAATAATAATAATAATCTTTATGAATCTGAATAATCTTGGTAAAGCTTGATTAGCCTTGATTAATCCTAACAGTCCTCAATCCTTCACCTGTTGGAGGACTGAGGATTGTTAGGGTTAACCCCGATTAATGTTGATTATCCTTGCTTAAACTTGAATATCCCTGATTAAACTTAGTAGCCCAGATAAACCGTGATTACCTTTGATTGATTAACTGTGTTAACAGTGAGCAGAAGCTGGCTATATGGTGTCGTCTGATCAGTCGAACCTCCTCCCTGATTGATTACTACTATTATCCCTGGAGCTTCATGATCAAGAATGGTAGGTGACTTTTTAAAACAAATTTTAGGGATAAACATAATGAATCACCAAGCAGTGTCCACGTCGGAGGCATAGAATCACATCTCTCTCACAGGAGTACAGTCAAACCTTGTTACTAAGAGCTCTGATTCTGAGCAAGGAAATGTTTAGTTCCCAATCCTATGTTTTTCATTGCTTTCATTCTCGATAATACAAGGTTCCTGGTAAGGCAACTTGCCAAGTCCGAAGGATCTCTTGTTAATGGGGTTGGATTGTGATGTAAAACAAGACATGGAAAGTTACTGAAGTGAACAAAGACTGTGACAAGAATGAACATAATACATAAAACGGAGCTCAACAGGTGCATGGGCTGTCGGACTTGAGTAGGTAAATTAGGAAGCAAATTACAAAGTCTAGTATCCTGTCTCACAAACTATATGCTACACTGACTCGCATACATTGAACATGATCAACTTGGTATGCTTTTTGGAATATTCTTGTTTACTTGAAATATCCAATGGGCTCATTACTTTGCATGTTAGCATACTTTCTCCGCAGACGAAAGTGATTTTTATTTTAATGTGCTCTCAGGTTTTGACGGTGCACTCCAGATTCTGGACAAGCTGAGTGAGATCCAATTCAGACTGAATGTGGACATAGCCGTGCGACAGTTTTACAACATTAGAGATGCCTTCTGATTGGTCAGTTGCATCGGTTTGTTGCATCGACCTTTGCCTTTGATTGGCCAATAGTTTCACACCTTGTTTTAGATCTCAAATCTAGATGCCCAATCTAGTTTGAGATAGTCTCACTTGATGTCCAGGACTTTGCCTGATAGGTCACCGAACATCTGTAAGTTTTCAGACAGCTGTATAGAATCAATTTCTGATCAGTCAAAACCCATCTTGATATCAGATACCACTTGACATGACTACTTCTCTAATTGTACAAAATTTCAGTGTTGGTGTCAGGTCGAAATTAATAGAAATGTTTAGTTATTGTAATGCCCTAATCAATACACTAGAAATTAACATAGGATAAAGAAGAACATTGACTGCCAAATATTCGAGATAATTTTTCCAGTGTATATTATGGCATTCAGCGCAGTTATTCTCAAAATTGGAATTCTATTTTTAATGAAATGAGCAAAGAGTGAATGAATCTGCTATTGATGAGCGTTTTTCATTTGAGCACAAAGCGTTCAAGTTAAAATTGGATCTATTTATTCTGCCGGTTGTTCTGCCTGTCGGCTTGCGTTTTGAAATGTTTCACTTTGGATTTGAACTTCAAGCCTCTGTAAGGAAGACGTGATTCATGTTTAATGTGTTTCAGTTTCAAATAATTGTTTTTAAAATTACCTTGGTCACTGCCTTGATATCGCAGGTTTAACATTCTGTGTTGTTTGACGGATCCTTTTCGGTCTTGATTGCTTCCCTGTTTTGCTTGATAAAAAGGGAAATTCATGGATCACCTCAACAGCAAGTCAACATTGTCTTAAGAAAGCCTCAAACACCGCAATTTAATGAATTCTCTATTTTTACTTCAAAGACTGAAGACAAAATAATTTATTTAATGGAAGGCTAATGCCAAATGGTTTATGTTCTTGTAAATAGTATGAACATGTATATGTATAAATTGGTGGTAATTTACACAAGTATGATATAAAACTTTAACCCTAACAGTCCTCAATCCTTCACCTGTTGGAGGATTGAGGACTGTTAGGGTTAAAGTGTAATTTATTGATTGGAAAACCATATCAAACATGATTCAACATTCATTGCTGAAGACATTCCACTAATGACATTACAGAGAAGCCGTAGGTCATTGGCAGGAGCTTGTTCGTCTTGACACTTTTTAAAGACCAGAATGCACCACAACTTGGTCAATAGAGTATGAAGTGGTACTTAAGTTTATGGGGTTTATTTGTTGCAATTACCTGTATGACTTGACACATTTGCTTGCAAACGTGCCTGCGCAGCTGCAAGTTTTCATTTTCCATGACAGAGGATGGTATGCAATATCTTCTGTCAGATTTCCACATGCAGTGGCAGCAAACCAAGTTTTCACATGTGACAACAGATAACATTGACCATTCCGCTGTTGCATTGGAAGCTTGTAGGCTTAGTAACCTATGGCTTGTTTCATTTCGACTGCGCTCACTATTTCACTGTAACAATTACCCAGATAAATCTCACTGCAATCCAAAATATCAATGCTAATTTTTAGGGTTTTATTCCTTTCAGCTGTGTTATTTGTACCATAGTTATTTATTTGCTTTTCATGTCAACAGGTTTCATTTTGTGGTCCATAAATATGGACGTCTAGTGACAGCTGATTTCTTTTGTTCGTACATCTTTGAGCCGATGTGATCGACTTGTAATTAACCTACAAGAAGGCACCAAAAATCAATACAACACGTGTACATCTTGAATACAAGTTGTTTGCATTTCAGCACTTCACATCGGGGAGGACCTCCACTAAATGGAGGGGGGCAACAGGCTTTCCCACCCCACGCCGGTGGTTACAAGGGGTCCTCTAAACAGAGCTCAAATTGTGTTTGCTGGAAACCATTTTTGACAGTACTTAAAGTCACTTGGGATGAAGTCGAACTGTGTTATACAGTTCTGAGGTGAATGTGTCATGTGGACAATTATTTGTGTACAAGGCATGAGTGCAAGAACCAGCACATTAACCAACACTCGCACGTACTCCATTTGTTTACTCTTTTTGGTTTAATGATGTCACGTTTCGGTATTCTTTCCCACAAGTTGTCATTCAACTTCAAGGAAGGGAAATAAGCTACCTGTATAATGTCGCAGTTGAATACACTGTCATAGCAAGTAATAAAACGGGTCAAGAGTTGAAGAGGTGGGAAAAAAAATTATTTCCTTTAAACAATATTCAGAGATACAGAGAAGTACTGTAGTGTTAGCATAAATGTGAAGACCTGTAAATTGACTGAATTACAGGGGTTTGTGCAAGTGTAGGTAACACGTTATTCTTCCAGAATAATTATTTTAACACTCTGTGCAATATTCAAAGTACTAGTTAATTTACTTTAGGGGACTTAGGGTAGAAATGTGTATAAACCTGTATTTTTCTGTGCAAATTAAAGTTGTGTTGGATTCTTGAAAACAGAGTTTTTTGCGGAATATTTCATTTCTTTCTGCAGACTTATCCAATTTGTGCAGATTTTAGACCTCTGTTGCATCTGTTTTCAGATTCAATCATCTACATGTGCCCCATGGAGTTGAGGTGATATCTGAATGTATATTGGTCCATTCATGGGTGCAAATCCCTTGGAATGGGGGTATATATTCCCCCTCCCAACCTTTTGAGGGGGATGGGCTATTGAATCATCCCCCTCACTTTTTTGTGGTGTGCAAAACTTGAAGTGAATTGTGAATGCTTTTTCAGATTTCTAACAACCAAAATGCATTCATTATCACTCAAAAATGGGGAAACAGTTCCCCAAACCCATAGCTATGTCATTCTGAAACATATTACAGACGTACATAAATATCATAGACATCGACCTGTACAAGTCACCGGGTGTCAACCCCCCCTCCAAATTTCCACGGCCGGGCAAGTCACCCCCCCTTACCTTTCCCCCATCCCCCTCCCCTCAATTTTTGGTCCCAATTTACGCCACTGGGTCCTTTGAGCAGGGATGAAACAATGCACGGTGCCTTGGTAGGAATTTGGATATGTGCGTTATTATGCTGAAATGTCCTCTCTCTTAAAGGCACATGTATAGGGTTAGATTTTGAGGGTGCCCCCTCCCACCAAAATGGTGACTTCATCTCTTTATTTTCTCAGTGTTTTTTTTTCTTGGCCTTTTGCCTCAGTTACTCTTCTTTGGTTTTTTTCATTCTTTCTTTTTTAGGAGGAGACAAGCCCCCCCCCCCGCGATGAAGCCGCCGTGGTAATCGAATCGTACTTTAATGGAGCTTGAATTGGTTTAGTGCACCCATAAGCCAGGCACTCCGTGCATGACGTCACCACGCTAAACTCACGCTGCATCCAAAACCCATTCCAGAACCGACACACTGCAACCTCCTGCCTCTAAAACTGGACCTTCTTCCTAACTCCGTAACGTGATGCCGATTAATAAAATGTACGAATAAACATACAGTTATTGGCGAAAATAGCCCGAGTTGCTGAAAGCGCCATTAAAACAAAAACCAACACCACACTGCAAACAACACGTGGGTGCGGTGGCACATGTGGGTAGGGCCTGCCTACTCAGCCATGTCAGCACACAGTGATCGCTTTAAATCCGTTTATTTTTGTGACTTTGTGTATCATCAAGACAATACGTGAGAAATTACTCTCTGGGTAATCGCTGGCACACCTAAGGAGTAAGTACAATGTATGTTGCTTTTATAATTCCGCACTTACACTTTACAGGAATAAAATTCAAGGCCTTGTCCAGTAGCCTACCCCCAGAACTGTGGGGCTGACGTCGTGGAAGCGCGCGGGGTAGTCCTTGAGACCATGGAGAAAGGGAACGGCCATGTTGAGACTAATCCTAGGAGTTGGACTGGGATCAACACTAGGTATTTATGGCCCATTTCTGTGAAAAAGACATGAGTAACTTCATTCAGTAGGCCTATATGCCCACTTAGATTTTGCATGCATCTTGCAAATTGTTTTAAAGGTTATAATATTATTTAATGTAACTGAATGAATTCAATTTTTTGGTTTGGCAGTGATGCATGAGGAGAGTCGAGGAAACATCGAACAGTGGCACGTTAGAGACTCAACTTCATTAGGGCCAGGCTAGTGGACTATTCCTCTGAACACATGGCCCTACTCCTAAACTAGAAACAAGTGGAGGAAGGCTTAAACTTTGGGATAAAGCTCCCCGGCCGCTAACGGTATCAGCCACATACAGGTACTTCTCCGTTGCCTCTTTAATTCACCC